TTTGTGGCATATTTTAGTCTTTTTAAACCAGGAAAAAACAGCTGGGTCGTAAGTCACCGTTAGTGAAAAAATTAATCTTACTTGTTTGTGAGCATATGTGAATTTGCTTTTTTTTGAAAAACAAAGTCAAGTTAAACTGATGATCTAATATTGTTATGAGGAATACATTCAGTTAACATTGCTCTGTTTTTAAAAGTACATTTGAAATTATTTGATAAAAAGTAATCCTTAAGGTCAATTGTATAAATCAATAGAAATATCCATAGGACTGTAGTGTTAAACTGTGTAGCTCCTACGTGGCTCGAGTAAGTTTGGAATAAGAAATATGTTAGTGAAATATTAGGGACTTTTACTGATGATGTGGAAGGGAGGAAATATTTGTGTGTTATGTTGTGTCATGAGAGGTTCACTAACTTATTTTTTAGGATGCAGTCAAGCAATTACATATTATATTCATTTGTAATTGCTTTTAGTCACTGTATTCTGAAGAATATTTTAGATCTTTTAATTTAATTATAGACATAGATTTTTTTCTATACTTTTTTCCATAATGATTAATAATTAAATCACATATTTTAGGCCATCTTCAAAATAAATAAGCTAGTAAATTTTTCCTGATTGAGGTTATCATGCAAGGTTTAAAATCAGATATTTGGAAATTCAAAATCTGTTTATTAAGATTAAGCTTGTGTGGTCATATATGGTGGATAGTATTGAAGGAAATTGTCACAGTTAATTTTTAGAAATTTTGAATGGTGTGACAACTATTAAGTTTGATTGTAATGAGATATGCTTTATATATATATTTTTAATATTATCTGTCATTTTTTTCACGTAATTTATCCTACTTGAATCTGCTAAAATAGAAAACAGGTATAGGTTAATTATGGAGAAGATCTTATAGGACTATTGATTGTGAGAATGATTTCTGTGTGAGAGGGAAAGTTGGAACGGGGGCGAAGAGGTACAAATGCAGCAAATTTCACCAATGTATGAGGTGCTGTGGAAATATTTTCTTAGTTCTCTTATCGATTAACTTCATATTTTGTGTTGTGCAATAATATCATTAAGGATGCATAGATGAATTTGCTACCATTCTTTAAGCAGTGAACAACATATTTTACAATGTTTTAGGCAGAGGTGCCACCAACCTCAACAAGAAGCTCGGTGATCCTGTTCAGAAGATACAGAGGTTGAATATTAAAACTATGATTTTGGCCCTTAGTTACTGTGTCAAATAAAATAATACTCATTTAAGTAAGCTTTAGAATTAAAGTCTATAATCAGGCATTGTAATGGGAATAACAATACTACTGTGTATTGCATTCTATTTAGCATTCACAGTTTTGTTGTGCTAGTTTTGTATTGGCAGATTTGGGTTGAGTCACTGTACTTTCTGAAAATTGCCAAGATGGTGAGATTTGATTTTTCTGCCATTTAGCTGTTAAGCACATAACAGCATTTTAAATTTTGCTGTAGTCTCTTCTGATTTCTTGTTTACTATTTTGAAATATTAATAATGATATGGACAGATCAGATATGTCTATTTGAGGCTAACAAGATAATGTCTTTGTGTAATATATAGGTAAATATAACCCTAATTAGAAGTAGTGCTTTTTCTTGTAGAACAATTAAGTAGCATTCACAGTTTTATCTCATTATACCTTCTTATAGAAGGTAATGTTTAAGTACTTCCTCTTTGAATAGCATCAGAAAAAGTGCAGTGTTCCTTTCTTTTGCTGGAATTGAAGACTGGTTCTGTCAGAAAGTCACAGATAATTATTTAAATATTTTAAATTTGCAAAGCCACATAAATCTGTTTCAGATATTCTGTGACTCAAAATATCTTTCTTCAAATTCATAATCAAGGAGGTATTTAAATATGTTGCTATTTTAACTTCATTGCCTCATGTTCTCTTTCCAGTGATGTTTGATGCTGGTTTCATTCAGATATAAAGGTGATATCTTCAGTATACTTAATTGTGTAACTTAAGCATTGTAACTTGTCAAAAATATAAACTAGTCTGATATACTAAGAAAAATATTCAGTCATGCCACAAATATTAATTATTTGCTTCCTTTGGGCCAGGGACTGTTTTGGTGCTGACTTAATGAAGAACTAGTGTAACAACTGCCTTCTCTCATGGAGCTTATATTTTTGTGGCAAAGGCAAATGATCAGCAGATAACAATATAAGTGTGTAATATTACTCTGCTTTCCTCAGAGTACCACATACTATTAGATGGGTTTTTTTTTCCCTTCCCTTTAGGTTGGAAGGCCAATATCCACAGAGTCACATTGTTTTTTGCGACAGGGTCTCACTCTGTCACCTAGGCTGGAGTGCATTGACTCAATCATAGCTTACCCGCAGTCTTGAACTGTTGGGCTCAAGCAGTACTCCCACTTCAGCCTCCCAAGTAGCTGGGACCACAACTTTATGCTACCATGTGTGGCTAATTTTTAAAAATTTATTTTCTGTAGAGATGGAGGTCTCACTATGTTGCTTAGGCTGGAAGTGTAATGTTACATACTTCTCTCAAAACGAGTCTGCACTGCTGTTGGGAGGAACAGAAGGTTGGGTGCTGTGGATGGTGGGCTGAAAATCTTCTAAGAAGATAACTTTGCAGTAGGGACTTGGAGGAAGGCCTAATGGGGTATAAAGCTAGTATGCAGAGTGCAATGATTCATCGTGGTAATTATCTTCTAGTGAGCTTAAATGTTTTTCATTTTTACATTTTTTGCCTGATATAGAAATAAATTGAAAATTCACCTTTAAATCGTTGTCTCTACAGAAGCTTTATGTTCTGTTTTGTCCCAAATATAAATACTTAAGGAAAAACAATCATTTTCTCATTTCAATGCAGTTTAGTTGCTTCTGGAATTCTAATCTTTGGGAGTAGTGTATCACCTAACCAACGCTCCTTCATTATCCTTACTGCAATAGACCACTAAGTGATTTAGGGAACCAAAACTGTTGAACGGATCAGAATTCTAAAAGACTGCTTTGACAGACCCTAGATTACTTATTTGAGTTAGTAAACACAATCTTCCTTTCTTGGCAGCAGCTAGTCTGAAATGTGTCAGACCAGCAGGCCACATTGGCAGTCTCTATGCTATTCCAGAGGGTGTGTGATGGAAAGTTATCTTTTTCTTTGCAGTATTTCTAAAATTTCAGTCATTTGCATATCTCTGTCATGATTTTTACTTATATATAGTCTGTTATGTGTATATGTGTGTATATGTATATATTCTTTAAATCTTTTAATTTTTAAAAATTTATTTATTATTATTATTATGAGTCAGTGTCTCACTCTGTTGCCCAGGTTGGAATGTAGTGGTGTGATCATGGCTTACTTCAGCCTTGACCTCCTGTGCTCAAGCATTCAGTCTCCCGAGTGGCTGGAACTACAGGCATTTGTTACCACGCCTGGCTAATTTTTGTATTTTTTTTGTAGTGATAGGATCTTCTGTGTTGTTCAGGCTGGTCTTGAACACATGGCCTCAAGTAGTCGTCCCACCTCAGCCTCCCAAAGTGCTAGATTACAGGCGTGAGCCACGGTGCTTGACCCTTATAATTTGTAAATTAAACTTTATTTCTTCCTAAATTACAATACTGATGTAACCACAGACTGGACACACTAGTTCTGGCATTCTCATCCATCTGTTAAAATTATGTTGCTTTTGCATTACCTAAAATTGCGGTGAGTACTGCAGGTATTGTGCTTACCCCTCATTGAGAAATACTGGTCTCTGCTTTTTGCTATATGTAGTTGAATACTGCTGAAGGCTGCATTAACTCATTCAGATGACGGTTCTTTCTGTATAGTATATAAGTCTTTGTTACTCTACTTAGCACCTGAGTGAATACGGTGATGGCTGTATGCCCTACAGAAATGCCAAGTTGGTTGTTCATATATGGAGATCTCTGTTAATGTTTGGGACAAGCCCTGGGAATAATTGTGTGAGCAAACTTAGTTTACTGAAGAACTGCATTACTAATTATGGATTTGTTGACACCAGTGAGCCAGGGGAAGAAGTTGTGGTTTTGGGCAAGGGGTTCCTTCTTATCTCCTCCAAACTTACAGGGTGAATTGGGCCATCTCTTTCAGTTAGACCGAAACTTTCTTAATAAACAAAATCATAATAAAGGACCTCAAATAATTAATTTCCTTAATATATAACTTATATCAGCATTAAAAGCATATTTGAAAAGTCTTCAAAATTGCCAGCTAACTACTCTGAGATGTAATTGGACTGCTTGCCTATATTTGGTTTAGAAGAACTGAAATGATTAGTAAACTTACGTGAGCAAGAAATTTAACCTTGGTCATAGAGGGCATCCAGTACTCCAAAAGAGAATTTGATTTTCGTACCTTGTAAGCATCTCTTTATCTTCTATAGCAGTAGATATGTGACTCTTAAATAGGCATTCATATATATATATATATAACCTTTAAGAATAATTGTTGAAAGAATAAGAATAATTTCATTCTGCTTTATCCTTTTCTTGGTTTTTATTATCCGTCATTTCACATTTTCATTTCTTTCCTTTTTATTTTCCCCCTTATATCTATCTTAAAGCAGAATATATACATGATTTCTGATATTATTCAAGAAGAAATTGGTTCTTATGGCAGAATGTTCCTGTTGTAGAAGATGTCATATAAAGCAAGAAGCTCTGTAGTGTTTGGAATTTGATCAGTAGGTTAAAGAGGGCCTACTATTAGCTGCTGTTCAGATTTTTAAAAGTTTGATTCTTACAATATTTTTGTTGTTCAGAGAAGTTTATTATAATGTATTGAAACATAGGTCAGAGATTTACCTCAGAAGCAATTTACCCATTAGTACTTATCTTTGAAATAGAAATCTTTCCTTTAGTAATTATTTACAAACAACATTTGTTTTAGCCAAATATATTTGCAAGAATTCTCATTATCTGTACATTACCCACACACTTTAAATACTGTATCTATCTATAGAACAAAAATCCACTACTAATGTTTTGTGACTTCAGTATTGATCCAAATTCTATAAAATCTTAATTTACCAAAAGATTTCTATTTTTTGAGTTTTTTTTAATAAAGAGAAGGAATATAAGATGATCTGATATCAGAAGTTTAGTGAAATTGATCTGTAGGATATAAATTGAGTTTGTTACCCACAGTGCCCTATATCAAGGGCAGGCACATACATTATCAGGTCCAGCTAGACTAATGCATAAAAGCCAGTATCTATTTTAATTGCTCAGAGTCTGTGCCTGAACTAATTATTAATATTTTGATCATCGTCCTTGCCTATGTCCTTTACAATTAAATAATACAAATATGTTTATAATTCTTTCAGTAGCACTTTTGAAGCAAATAGAATTTCTCTGCTACAGAAAATAAAGATAATCACAATGCTAATTTGCAAGAGTTTTAGTAATCAAAGTATATTTTGTACTTGAGTGGGACTGTCTATAACCTGGAAAAAAGGAAAAATAATCAAATCTAGAAATTAATTTTTAGTTGTGTTTTGACATGACCACCAAGCAATGCAGATATTTCTTATAGTACCAGTCTTTTTACATATATTGTCTGGATGCCATAGATCATGATTAAATATTTATTTCATCTGGGTTGGGAACACATCCTTATGTACATGTTTATTTCTGTAAGGATGAATGAAGTTTATTCATTTATAAAACATTTTTTGAAAAAAGGTCCATTATGTTCCAAGAACTGTGTGATGGGGGACACTTGACCTACACCCTGTTGTCAGGGCGTTTATAACATTGAGGGGGAAAGGTACAAAGATTTATGAAATACCAAAAACATTCTGAGAGGGAATAATGTTTAGCATAGTTGGCCCAGCCCTATAGAGAAGGTAATTTTTGAAGAGCAATTTAAACAAGAAGAAGGAATTTGCCAAATTCCAGGGGTGAGGAAGTGTGTGTTTAACAAAACAGGGAGTTAGCATGTGACAAGTTCCAGGAGCTCACAAATGTCTTGGCACCTGCCAAGAACCCTCAGCAACTCCCCTCCAGGGGAATACAAGAGGTACAGCACTGGAAGAAGCAACAGGATAAAATGTGTCAGTTTGATCAAAGGGAAAGGTTCAAGAAAGAGTTGTAAATCATGTTATAGATCAAGTAAAGGCAAGGACAAAACATGGTCTTTGGACTTGGCTTTCTTGACAGTATTGATCACCTTTTCTGAGAGGTAAAATAGTGGGTGTGGAAGTCAGACTGATAAGGATTCAGAAGTGAATGGGAAAGGAAGAAGCAGAAAAACTGCATGGGAGATGACTCTTTGGATATTGGCCTGGGAAGGATGGATTAAGTGCATTAGGGAGAGGAGGATACATAGCCAGGGCTGGGTCCTTTTCCTCCTGCTATGTCACTCTCTGCATTTTGGAGTTGCTTCAGCATATTTGGAAGCTAAGAGAAGGAACTGCTGAAAGACAGGGTGTGCATGCATAGAGGAGGCAGAAGAAGAAAGAGGTCTTGAGAATGAATGAGTCAAGGTGGAGGCTTGTGGAAGCTTAACTGTGGGCAGGAGGAGTGAGAACTGGAAGGCCAAGCAAGATACAGAAGGATAGGTAAAAGAAACATGGGTAGAAAGGTAAGAAAAAGTTCATGCTTAAGGGCTACTGTTATGGCTATGAAACATTTTTGGCATATGATATTACCCACTCTTGCTAGTGAATGTGGAGAAAGAGTGAGGAAGTTTTAGTGAAGCTGCTGTGCGGAATGAGATAGGGAGCTGTCCAAGAACAGGGCTAGGTTGTGAGGCAATGGAAGGACCTATGTGACCCTGGAACATAGAGAGGCAATGCTGTGTGTGTGTGTGTGTGTGTGTGTGTGTGTTTCAGTATGTTCATGTGTTGTATTCATATATGTGTTCACGTGTGTGTTTGTGTATTTTGTGCTCTAGAGGTAATTAAATCCTGAGGCAGTAATTGATAATTTACCAATATTTATGGAACTCCATCTGTTTTGCATCACTTTGCTTATATTTTTTCTGTACTTAAAAACATATGGTCTAGTGGGTCAGATATATAAGGAAATAAAACGCTGTAGAGGGCATAGGTGCAGAGATAATTCAGAGAAGGCAGTGTTCATATATGGTTGGATAGAGATGGGGGTAATGACATCTTGGTCGCTTTTTGGAGGAAGTGACAGCTGGCTTTAGAGGAAGAAAATAGTTGCAGGTGAGGCAGTTGAAGATTCTGAAGAGAAGGACTAAAGAGATCGTTGACCATGCAGGTGGTCCATTCTCAAGGCATGAAGTCATTGAGTAATTCTTAATCTTTGCAGAGCAAAGATTCAGAAAAGATAGACACAGCTTACAGTTTATGACTGACTGGACCTTTGTTTTTTAATAGAAACTGGTATTAGGACATGGAAACTTTTTTGAAAACAAAAATATTTCTTGAACATTGGGATGAGTTGGTTCTTTTTTTTTTTTTTTTTTGAGATGGACTCACACTGTAGCCTGGGCTGGACTGTAGCAGTGCAATCTCGGCTCACTGTAACATCCACGTTCTGGGTTCAGGAGATTCTCCTGCCTCAGCATCCCAAGGAGCTGGGATTACTGGCGCCCGCCACCATGCCTGGCTAATTTTTTGTATTTTTATTAGAGACAGGGTTTCGCCATGTTGACCAGGCTGGTCTTGAACTCCTGACCTCGTGATCTGCCCAACTTGGGCTCCCAAAGTATTGGGATTACAGGTGTGAGCCATGGTTTTTTTTTTTTTTTTTTGGTTTTGTTTTTGAGATAGGCTCTTGCTCTGTTGCCCAGGCTGAGTGCAGTGGCATGATCTTGGCTCCCTGTAGCTTCTGGCTCCCGAATTCAAGCTATTCTTCTGCCTCCTAAGTAGCTGGAATTATAGGCTCTATCACCACGCCTGGCTAATTTTTGTATCTTTAGTAGAGATGGTGTTTCACCATGTTGGCCAGGCTGGTCTTGAACTACTGACCTGGTGATCCACCCACCTCAGCCTCCCAAAGTGCTGGGGTTACATACAGGTGTGAGCCACTGTTCCCGGCCAATTCTTTTAATCTCTATCAAAAGTTGTAGTCTTACTGTTGTATTTTCCAAATAGTTTTGGAAAGTAGTTTTTTTAAAAGAAAATCAGTGTTATCAGTGTTAAAATAACTATTAATCTTAAGCAATTTAAGTTCTAGATGTTTATGCTTTTTAACATACATATATTTATATTCTATACTGTAATTTCCAAAAATTATGAATATGCCATATGCCAATAGAGCAATTTTGGCTCATGAAGAAGTATAATCAAACATTATTTATTGTACTGTGACGTTGCCTCTTTAAAATGTGAAAATTTTACTTTTTAAAGCCTTTTTTTCCTCACTGGGGACATTCAATGGAAAAAAGAAAAAAAAAATCCTGATAGAAAGAGAAAGTAAGTTGTTAAAAGTAAAAATGCCAAGATCTAAGGAGTAGTCTTGTAGTGCTGAGTTAACTGATCATCAGGCGTAGGGGATCCCTCATCCGCGACCCTCCAGCTTCATTTGGAATTGTACTTCTGAAGTGCATCACTCTGCACAAATCAAATTGCTCACTTAATATTTAATGTTTCTGCAATGGAATCACATTCTCCCTTGAGGTTGACTTCAGATTTACCAGATACACTGACAACACTGCACTCCTTATTTTCCCCACATGACCTCAGCTTCTGCTTTAAAAATGTACGAATAAAGGATGCTTTTGTTCATATCTTGCCTGCCTGTGATATATTGACAAAGTGTCTGCAGGCTCAATGGAATAGTTTTACAGTATGAGTGCTGCTTTCAGTGGAGGGGCAGGACTTGGGCTTTAGAAGGAAGTGAATTGGATAGGTCAGGAGAATGTACCATTTGTAAACACCCCTTTCCTTTTTTATTCACGTGTCAGGACAGCAGGAGCAGGCTGTTCGGTGCCCGTCCCTGTGCAGAGCCGGAGGGAAAGCAGCTTGGAAGTCAGCTGCAATTTTTAAACCTTGCTTTTTATTCCCTGGTAATGATCTTCAAGTGCTTAGACTTGTCTGAGAAGCTGTTTTAAAACTAACATGGTTTAGTCCACTAACTGCATGTTGGGTAAATTCAAAACCCACATGCTCGTCCTCTTGCAGTGGAATAAGTCACATCTGATGGACATTTTCTGTGCTTATAGCATAGTAATGAACGTCTGACAGGCGCGACCTTTCATAAGACAACCCACACTATTGGCTTTCTGCCCAGAATATTGCTGCAACACTATCTGTGATTGGTTATCTCTCTATCATGCATTGCTTCACAAGGGGAAACGGCCCCTTTTTTTAATAAATCTACGATGGCTGGCTGCAATATGCCTCACTGTAAGTATTTTGTGTGTGTATGTGTGGGAGAGAGGGAGAGAGAGAGAGGCTGACTTGAATATTACTTAGTCTAGTATCACATGGCAAGGTTGTGATACTGTAGGACATCAGTGAAGTGCTACTTAGTAAATCTTAACCTATCTCTTTTTTCTACAGGTTGGTACTAAGAAGTGCCTTTCCTGACGTCTCTGCTGCTTGGAACCGCTTCTAGAGCAGTCTCTGCTTTTGCCTTGCTTGCTGCCAGCTAGACTGTGACGACAGCACATCCACCCTCCACCTCTAGCCCAGACACCCCCATTTCTACTTATAATCAAGAGAAAAGCTCTAAGTATCTGGCATTGCCCTAGGCTGCTTTAGTGTTAAAAGAAAAGTTTGCTGAAAAAGTAAGATATCTTCTGCCAGGAAATCAAGGAGGAAAAAAAAATCATTTTCTCGATTTTGCTCTAAACTGCTGCATCTGTCTATGCCAAACTAATCAATACCGATTGCACCACCAAACTCCATTGCAAATTCAGCTGTGAGGAGATTCCCTTTCAGACAACTTTGCTGAAAGCAGCTTGGAAATTCGGTGTCAAAGGGTCTGCCACGTTTTCATGCTTGCATTTTGGGCTCCAAATTGGCACTGGGAAGGGGTTACTGAGAGCACAAGGCTGATACCAGGCCCTACTTTTAAACGTTCATCTACTTACAGTCCTAGTATTTCTCTAAAAACCAAAACCTCTTTGAATTAACAGTTTCATGCTGTGAATTTCTAGTGGGAGATCTTTTTCTTGATATTGACGACACAATTTTCCATGTACTTTTAAAGCAGGGAGTGGGGGAAAAGTATTTTGAGGGGACATTTTCATCATCAGTTCAGCTTTTTTTTTTTTTTGGTTGTTGCTCTTTTTTGGGGGGTTGGGTTTGTTGGTTTCACTGAAAATTTAACTACCTGTAAAATCTAAACATGGCTGTTAGTGTCACACCAATTCGGGACACAAAATGGCTAACACTGGAAGTATGTAGAGAGTTCCAGAGGGGGACTTGCTCACGGCCAGACACGGAATGTAAATTTGCACATCCTTCGAAAAGCTGCCAAGTTGAAAATGGACGAGTAATCGCCTGCTTTGATTCATTGAAAGTGAGTAACTATTATATTCTTTTAAGGATATTCAATGGTTGAATAAAGGGGATATGGACATACAGTCCTCTGCATTTGGAATGATGGATTGCTTTGTTCATAGTTTAGTTATACAGTGTGTTGATGATGTCAGGCTGGGGAATTTTACGAGAAGCAATAGAACCAAGTCTGGCCAAACTTTGTTATAAATAACTTTATCAGTCCTTTCACTCCATGATTTTTTTGCCAGGGCAGAAAGTGTTGATATATTTTTCACTTAGTAATAGCAAAGTGAGTGTCTGTCCCTGGAAATGGCAAATGTAGCTACATGTGAGTGTTTAGCATATGCATATATTATGTATAAAGCCATGGTGATAACTGAATGGAGATGATTTTTATTTTGTTGGTAAAGGCATTGTATAGTTGCAAAAGAGAAGCAGATTTAAATCAGCTAAACTTGGATAGACTTTTTGCTCTTTTAATATTTTGACATTTTGGATTTTCTTTTTATGTTGTGGGTATTTTATTTTAAGGCCAGAGTCTTGCATTTTGTGGAAAATATAACTAGAAGTAAGGTGCTGAACTGCTGCTATAGCACCTTACCTGAGGCACAAACTTTGTTGAATGTGAGTTTTATAAATAAGTAGAAACTCATAAGTATTATCGTTTTTTGGATTTCTCCAGCTTCAAAAATTCTAATGTGAATTAACTTAGCAGTTTATTTTCTGTTAGATTGTGATTATTTTTTATTTGTAATAGTCTTAGCTAGAAATGTTAAAAGTTAGCTTTTATGGGCACTATAATACTAAAATATTTACTTTAGTATTTCTTGACATCCAAAAATGTCATTGGATTTGTAATTCAGGTATCATATTTGCAAATGAGTCTTTTAAAAGATAACATACATGTCTTTATTTTGTTACACAAGGTCAAGACTAGAAATGTGTTCCTAGGTACTTTCACCCTACTTGGTTTAATTAAATTGCTTTTGAATATTAACATCCCATTTTAATTCTTTGGACCTTTGAGGAGAGGACACTATCACTTCTATATATGTAGAGAAGTAAAAGTCTCATAGGTCCATCCTGTCTTTAAAAATATATAGTGCTATAATAGTTTCCTTTAATAACATCAGGTTGAGTTATGAGTTAACTGTTTCAGTTCATTGTTTCCTGGTCCAGTGTAGGCTGTTCATTTTGCTAAAGTTTTTACCAAAGATTCCAAGAATATGATCTTTAGAGTTGAACAGATAAGGAGGTATTAACAACAGCAAAAATATTTTAAAATGTTAGATTTTTCTTAATGTCATAGTCCTAAAGATCAATAAACAAAAGTTATGAACTACTATTGAGACTTTCTTCACCCTTTGAGAGGCATCAGTGAAGGGCACAGTGGTTGTACCTCTGAGAATGTGTGTCCCTAAATTCACGTTGGTTGAATTTAGGTGTAATTAGACACTGAGACCCGTAAAATGAGGTGCAAAGAGCTAATTACTCTTGTCGGTAACCAGCTGTGGCCATAAGTAACCCTGTTTTGACCCAATTAATAGTAAATCCAATTTTTAATCCTACAGACAGTTGATGGTGCACTCGTAGCTGCAAAATGAAGGACATTAAATTTGGCTATGACATTGAGTGGTTTCACAGAAGACCTGCCTCTACAACATTTGGAAACATTAATATTCAGTTGCTATTTTTCCATCTCAAAAAAAAAATTTTTTTTTGGTTGCTGCTCACTTGTGGCCACAGAACAGTACCTTTTTGAGTAAAGCAGCAAGGTTGCTTAATGACATGCTGTGTGGTTAACAAGATTCAACTGTCACATCAAAGACTTAATATAATTTCAAGATTTTAAATTTATTTATGACATGAGCTCATTACAGCAGCTAATCAATGCAAACTTTGTCCTTTTTCTTTGTCTTTCTAAGAGAAACTGAATTTAATTTAAATTTAAATTACAGTGTCTAAAACTTGATAAAATATTTTAGATTTGAATAAGAGGAAAAAAATAAACACAAGTTTATTTATGATGGAGCTTTAGACCCAGGAGAACAGCTTAAGTGTTAGTAAAATAACTATGTTAAGAATTAAAACAATTTTGAATATGCAATTAAGTGTTTATGTTAAAAAAAACATGTTTCTTATGTATGTGTATATACATATTTTTATAACTGACACATGTGATTCTTTGTACAGTATTTAGAATCCTTCCTTTTAGATAGCAGTCCTCTTGTATTCAGTCTTGTGGCTAAAATAGATCAAAAACGTATTTTAAAACTGTTAAAGTAACTGTATGACTCATGCTTCAAGTTCTGAAATTTGGGAGTGTTATGAGGTTTCCATGCCAGTAACCGCTAGATCATTTGCATTTTGTCACAGAGTAAATGGAAAACAAATTTAGAAAACTTGTAATATCCTGACTTCTTTAATAAAATGTGTCCTGTGTATTGCTTAAATCGATAGTCCAGCCTTTTCTGAGTTCTTAAGCTATGAGATGGAGGTAGCCTGTGTAATCTACTATTTTTAGAAAGTTAGGAAAGCAAACCAAATACTCTCTGAGAGGACCCTATGAAATGGCTGTACCCTTCAGCTGTGCTGTTTCAGACTTTGGCCAGGCTCCCAGGTGACTTACGTTAATAGCTGACTTCTAGTTAGAATAGGAGAATTTATTTTATTACAAAAACAGAAGTCAAACAGTTCAAGAAAGTATTCATTTACGTAAAAGAAGTCAATTGGTATGTTACTAAAGATATTAGGAAGAAAATTAGCTGACAGTATTTTAGTTGTATACTGATTATTTTGAGGTTTAAATAATTAGATTAAATATACTGTATGAAAATGTATACTTCTGTATCGTAATAAATCTATTGCTAAGTAAAATGGGAATATATGATAATAAGGAATATAGACATATATTGAGAATATCAGAATTAGAATGAAAACAATAAAAGAGCAAAAGCTGTAATGTGTGCTAGTATATAAACAATATTGTAAATACTTAATTTCTCTAATTTTCCTTTTACAGTTGCAGTTTTAATTTATAATAGTCTAAGAGTATGTTCAATCTGAGACCTAAATTGCTTACAAGCTATAGATTTAGGTGTATTAGCTATTTCAGAAATCCGGAACATTTGCAAAGGTGCATTATTTTATGCCGAAGAGGATTATGTTCCCCTAAGGCTTGTGAAAGAGATAGCAAAAAAGAAAAATATTAACACTGTAAGCCACCATTAGAATGATATATTTCAAAAATGATATTTCAAATAATAGTTAATGACAAGTTACCTATTCAGTCGCTCTCAAGTAAAATTTAGGGAGTCAATGTAAAGAAAGCCTACAGAATGTATTTTAATATTTGCCAAGTTATTTATACTCTCAAAAAAAGCTTTTACAATATGATCAACAGAAATAGACTTTTTTTTTTTACTGAATTCTATTTCAAATACTCATTAATTTTTCAAGTACTAGGGATGGGAGGAAGGGAATATAACCTTTATATTTACTATCTATTATCAAAACATCTAGCAAAATTCTTTTGTCTTTGAAAACTTTGGTCATTTGTTCCTTTATCAAATTGAGCAATTTTATTTAAGATAATTAAACTTTCTTTTTGTTATATACAGTGATATCTATCTATAAATAGCACCCTTGATCAGATTTATCATAGACACATTTGAGATCAGATTCCACTGCAAAGTGACATAGAATCAAGGGCACTGAGAACAGTTTTAAAGAGCCTCTGCAGACTTAGCAGAATATATGAAGTATGGAAATTAGGTATTAAAAAGCACACAAATATATGTACGTACAGGTAAACGAACAATGAAAGCATTCAAAATCACTAAGACAAATCAAGTATCCAGATGGTCACAGTGGATTGGATGGCATAACTAGATATGATGAAGTAGTCCCAAAGGTGTTTACAGTTAAATTTTAAAAGATCCTTCATTGCTAGCATGGTTTATCCTCAATCGAGAAAGTGCCTGTATTGCTGCTGTTCTTTCTAAGCCCCAAGCACAGACTTTTCATCATATTTTAAAAACCAGTTTAACTGATGATCCTGATAAAATATCTGCAAGTTTTAGACTAAATATGCAATTTTCAATTAAAGTTTTGATCTATTAAAGTCCTATTGGAATAACCATTACCAAGAATTTATTATTATTATTATTATTATTATTTGGTTTTACCACTGGTATTTCCCATGTATTAAAACTTTGACAGATTATCGTGTATACTGTGCTGGCACATATATTCAGTGTGTCTTTCAGTGACAGATTGACATATCACTTCCTTGTTTTCTCCTAATGATTTAGGAGATGAACTGACTGTAAGGTATAAGCCATGTAGTAGTGTGTTCCATGTTAAAGGTCCCTAAGCAGACTTCACAACTTTGTAAAGAAAGTCCTGTGAATATGCTGCAGTGCCATCAACTCTGACATAAACCTTTCCTTAATGAAATTCTCAGTAGCTGCAGTTATTTTGGTAAAACTACTAATTGTTTTTATTTGCCTGTTTCTATTCTTTTTCTTCTTGATGGAGTTTCGCTCTTGTTACCCAGGCTGGAGGCTGTTTATATTCTTATAGTTAGAACTTTTTTTAGAAACCTTTTTTTTCTAATTAATAAAGGTTTTTTAGACTGTCATATAAATTTTAAACCATGTTTTGAATCAAGCTACCTGCTGCAGTAATTCTAAAACTAGTTATTTTGCTTCATATAAGATTTTTGGTACACCGTTTCTACTTTTTTTTGTCATGAAATCTTGCTTCAGTGTGTGAACGTGACAAACTAAAAACAATTTAGACCTCAAGCAGTGTGGCACTTACAGTTGAATAAAGTTTAGTTGTAATCCACATGTCTGAAACTACTCAAAATTCCACTGAGTAGCCTTGAATCAGTTTTATATAAGGCTGTTTCTGACTTAAAAGAAACAATGCAGTCTGGGGTGAATTTTCTTTTGAAGAACTGTATGACATCTCCAGTTCATGCAAAAGGTGAGAAATAGAATGTTTCTCAAACCT